AACCCTAACCCTCTTACCCTAACCCTAACCTCTAACCCTCTAACCCTCTATCCCTATCTCTCTAACCCTAAAATTTAACCTAAACGTAACATTTTACCCTCTAACCCTAACGCTCTAACCCTTAACCTAAACATAACCCTTCGCAAGTGATGACAACCGCGTTAGCCGCGAGGTGCTCGAGTCATGCTTCTCTGGCCCGCAATCCATCAACGAGCTCAGTCACCTCCCGGTACCCTATTCCGTACTGCCATTTTCCCTGGGCAGGAGAATCTCTCACGTGGGGAGGGCGCGGGCCAGCAACCGTCACGGTGACATTCGGACAGTTTGCTGAGCAATCCTCATTCCTGCATCAGCACGGATGACGAAAACGCGGCAAGTAACGACACGAACTCGGACCGAGAAGCCAACACCGCATCAATTACGACCCCAGCGGTGATTGCAAGAGCTGTTAAGTGCAGTGCGCATACGGTCCTACGGCAGCCACGCGCTATAAATACTGCGCTCATGGTGCCACCATCACCTTTATCTACGAATTTCTCTGATGCTGGATTCGAGTGAGAATCCGAAACGCAAGCAAATAAATTTCTTGTTCCAGTGATCGCATCTTCATCTTCCTAACCGCTTCCTGTAACTCGCCTGTTCGTGTCTTTCAGGTGACTATAAGTTGGAAATGGCACCTACATACAAATGCTTAGTGCATGGTTGGAGCTTTTGAAAAGTGGAACACTTACCTCTCAGCGGTGTAACCCTTTGAAGCAAAATATAAACAATTTTGTTGTTGCAGAGAAGTAGGCCCTTTCAACTCAGCGATAGGATGCAGTGGATTCGGCGGAGCAGGTCCCAGCAGTTATGGTGGTGGGGTGGGTTATTTGTGCATTTACTGTAGTATTCAATTAGGGAAGGTATTGCTGAGAGAATACATCTGTCTTGATTTATGACCCCACCATTGAATCAGATGAAGGGGGAATAAAATGCAGGGAATGCGCAGTTAGTATCAACAAACAACTGATAGCACTGGACACCCAGGACTTTTGTTCAATTTTTCAAATGTTATCTCCGCTGAAAATAAGGTAAACACTCATCGGCGTACCCCCACCGTATGCACTTTCTAATTTATGTGAACACTCGTTCCGATGAAACGGAGTATTTGCGAATCAGTCAAGTGCATGAAGATAAAAATATCGCCACTATTGCCCATAGATTCATCTTACAGGAATTGTCATACAATTTTATATTAATTAAGCAGGCTCGTCTTCGTGTTATCCCGAAAATTACATCCTATTACTCTTTTGGAGTATTTTAATTATTGGAAGTTTAGGGCATATTTTGTTAAAGAAGAGCAGATTCTGCAATTCCCCAACTCAGTGTTTATGAAAAAAATGTGCGCTTTTGCCTCGCGAATGCATTTTGCTGGGGGTTTTTTATAATATGGTTTCCTTTGCCGTAACTATTTTTCTTTTTATTTTATTGTCAAAGTCACCTGTGCCGGCTGACACACGGCCCAGACTGTAGAAGGCGGTCATTGGAGATTTTTACAAGTCGTTGTCCATGCTCTTCTGAGCCTATTTCGAAGCATGATATCTGACCGATGACTGGAAATCCGCACGGATTACATCACCGCATAAAGGCCGTAGTGATGTCACTACAAACAACTGCATGACAATCCGCCTCACTTCAATCTGCTGCAAAAGGCAGAAGTAAAGCGCTTCCTAGAACAGCACAATCTGCCATCTGACGCCCAGCATAAAATGTGTAGTGGAAGTTCATGCGTGACAAACTTGCTCTATTGTGTAGAATGCTGGATCTGGACATTTAATCGCGGGAATGCAGTGCAGGCTGTTTCTTAAGATAGACATGATAGGAATCAAAAAATGCAAATAGTCTCAATTAATGAAGGTGTTGTTGAGAGAATATTGTTGTCTTGGCTAATGTCGAGCTGGTGAAATCGGCTTAAGTGGGGAACCATAAGCAGAGACTGCGTCAGCTTGAATGAAAAGACAATTGATGGCACTGGTTATTGTGTCTTTCTTTCAATTTTGCTAATAAGATATCCTTCGAAAATGACTAAACGCCCAGCGGCCCTAGGAAACTTTATGCACTTTGCAATTTACGTGATCAATGGATACAGCCTATTACGAAGCAGGCTTTTTGTCCTCTGACTGGAAATCTGCACGGATTACATCACTGCATAAAGGCGGTAGCAATGAGACCCTCAAAACCACTGCATGCCAATCAGCCCCACAACTATCTATAACAAAAGCCAGAAGCGCTTCCTAAAGCAGCACAATCTGCTATGTGACTTCCAACACGAATTGTGTAACGTCAGGTCATGCATAACATAATTGTTCTATTGTGACGCATGCAGTGCAGGCTATGCTTAACTTAAGAAACCATTTTATCAGCTTCTCCTATAAAACTATACCGAATAGGCCTTGTGGATAATCTCTTTTGCCGGAATGTAAGGCTGTTGATCATCCCTCTAAAATTATCTACGTCGGCGACAGGCATTCCTTGCAGATAGCGGTTGAGGCGGCGTTCCTCAAGGCTCTGTTTTTAGCCATACCCTGTTCATTAAACATATCAGTGAAGTGAATTTTGATATCGCCGTGTCCTTTGATGATATGCAGATTTTGAGGCTCATCCGAAGAAGTTAATCTAACGTTGCTTGCAGACAGCTCTGTATTTTGCCATGTCATATGAGCAGGTGCAGCGTTCTCCTCTTGCGGAATCCGATGTTTTTTATTCCATTTTCATATCTGTGCCCTTACGCTGATATTTGGGAGGAAATGTCCTTGACGCACTGTCCAGAAACGTACCGAAGCGGATAATGACACTGATTTAGTGTTTCTTTTGAATGCTTTCAATCCGCCCTTACTCGTCATTTCTCTAGATCGATTGTTTAATACAGCTTTAAAATGCTGTGCCATTTATTATCATTCGGGCTAGATATTTTTGCGCCAATTCTTTCTAACTCGTGCAGTAATAGTTACTTCTTCTCCAGGAAATTCTGCTATTATTTCTTCTTAAGCCAAACGTTTTTTCGCATAAACATGCTCATTTTTGATGCCTGTTAAAGACGTAAACATTTTGTCCTCCTATAGTTCATATTGTCCTCGGAGATCCGTATTACGGCTGTCGTGCGTACGCATTTGAAGCTGTTGATTCTGATCGGTCTTAAAAACCGTATCACGGCATCTCCTTCAAGGTTCAATTATCTGTGTGCGTATACTGGCTGGAAATATACTTGGCTTTCGTATTCTTTCACCGCTCACACACAATTTGTCTACTCTGACAAGCGGAAATTCACTGGTCTTCAGCACGACAACAGCTTTCGTCGAGGTTTCACCCTATGCGCTCATTTTTGTCCACTTAAAATCGATGACCTAAGATGGCCAAATGGCTGCCTAGACTCAAAGTGCTAAAGTCCATCTCCCGTTTTCTAGGTATGGACGAAGCCATGCCCCTTCCTGTCTTCTAATTCATCTTTAAAAATGAGTCTAGTGCTTCTCGACTGAGCTCACTCAAGTCCCTGAATCTTCTGCTATTTTACTTGATAAGACATAAACTTTGCGCCATCTCAGTGTTAGTCCATTCATCAAATCTCCCATATGCCCTCACATCGAAACGCGTTTCACTAAAATTCTTACAGTTTTATAATTTATTCGTTATAAGCGCGTCATTCATGCACCTCAGTCATTGACCCATAAATTCATAGATGACTATATGTCGTCGCCAAATATGTATTTCTCTGATATTCATAATCAAATATGTCTGTTGTTAAACGCTTATACTGAATGCGCTCGTCTGCCGTTGGCACATTTTATAGAATTAGGCTGATCTTATACTGCATCGACGTTTTACGACGCTCAATTTATTTGCTGAGCTAAAGGGAAATTTTCTTCCACATTTAATTCGCTTGGAATTAAATGCTGACAAGTGTTTAAATTCATACGCCTTGGCTTCCGAAGACCTCTACTTCTATATATCACCTTACTGCATGACCAACTCTGTCAGGGTATCCTGCGTCCCAAAATACCTCATTACAGAAAGCCATGATCATACTGTACTAAGAATAGTACGAAATCGTATACCAACCCATATGCTCTCTTATCTTCTGTTAAATAACTCGTTTGCTATCGATGTAATGGTACGTTATGTCGAAGACTCTAGCCTCATACTTTTACAATGAGACAATTTTGTATCTCTCTATAACTCTCTCTCAATCTCGCCACAGTTGCCATTTCTTTCTCTTGAACTTTCCCTCCCTATCCCTCTTCCGGCGAATCCCAAGCATTTTGTGGTGTGAAAGAGCCATGCCAATACTCCACCCATAATATAATCTTCTCTAAAAAGGAAAATGTAGGTAATCCAACAGGCATAGAATAAAATCACCGAAAACATATCGTACGACTGTGTTGTTGTTTCAAGCGCTGGCTTCCAATGGAGGCACAAGTAAGGCTAAATAAGTGATTGTCTTTAAAACGGCCTACAATAGTAAATAAATACCACCAACTTTCTAAATATGACAACATTTACACGGTGAGTTTGATTGGATAATCGTAGCCGGCATGGAAACATATATAATCCCACTAGGAGCTGAACATGCAGACGATAACACCGCGGCCAGTCCCTGGTTTGAAGTCCTTAGTTAAGTATTAACCAGAGATCGTGTGTAGGAACTTACGCAATCGCATTAGGCAAAAATGAAGTCAGTGCTCGTCACACTTCTGCTCGTTTCTGTTGCTTTTGCCGATACTCAACACAGTATGTTTTTTTGAATATACTACTCTCGTAGTCATACATGGAGTGCCAATGAACGCAAACTTTGAAATTGTCATAAGAGTGGAAGCTTCAAGTTCGGTACGTCAAGCGAATATTCTATACGTCGCTGAAGTTCATTGTTATTGTCAGCAAATATTCACATTTGTCTTCGCACAGTTCAGCAAAACGGACTCAGGTTTTGTTGAAAGCACGCTGGACAAAGACTGCGGGGCGCTTAACATGTGTGTGCAATTACTACCACGTGAGTGTGCTTTGAATGATTAAAATTCATATGACCTTTATTCCATGCATTTGATCGAAAGCAGCGATAAACACGTTTTTTCTTCGATTTGTATTTCGTTAAGGAATTTTGTTTGACAAGTAGGTTCTTACACTTTTTACTTTCAGAATTAGTAAGAATGTTTTATATGCCGCGTAACACCAGCTAACTTATATTCTTCTTAAACTCCTTAGTGGACCTGAAAGATCAAAGTTGATGCAGTTCGCGGAGTACTCAATTACCTTAATATGCCTGGGATGCTTCATTTAATCGCAGAAGCAAATTAAATGCTCATGTGGCAACTTTTGACTTACACCGTTTTTTTCCGTCTGGACAGCAAAACGCAGTCTTCAAGTATACGGAGATCCCAAGACTGCCAACGCAAAGATTCTCATCATTCCCGAAGATGATAGTCGGGAGAACTTCAGATTAGCGATAGTGCCAAGCGTCGGATGCTATCCCAGTACATCTTTCTATAACCGTTTTTGCACTGTCGCCGATTGTGTGCAATTAATCTTTAAATTGCTCTGAATCATGAACTGCCATCGTTTGCAGTCTTAACGTAACCTGTTGCTCATTTCGAATATGCGTCTTCCATTGACAGAGCCCTATAGTGTCTTATTTACTGAAGCATTCTGCGCCAAACGCGATTTTATGGACGCGCTGACACTAGTGTTTGACGAAGACATTAAGGTAAGCAAACATTGACTTGCATTACGTGCTGATTTGTGTTATAATTTGTTTCAAATTTGAACGGCATTTATAATATGAGATGTAATCGCGCCCTTAGCAGATTGCGCATATATGTGTTTTTGTGAAACCTGATACTTGCACGAAATCTGCTCTACATTCTGAAGGAAATAAAATTGGATGGCCATGTTTCAAGGTACCTAGAGAATTCGGCTGCTGATGGCGCGGAGGTGTTTATACCATACGGTTAGTTGCAATTGCATGCTGACAAACTGAGAACATAAAGATCGGCCCGAGCATTAAACTGTTACTTGAATATTTTAGAGCAAATCGATGGTCAGAGACATAAACTCTTGCGGATCACCGGCACAGTAAAGGACACCAGCATATCATTCACGCTGATAAACTCTGCTGGAGTTGAGGCAAACCACATTATCCAGCCTCTCAACAATATGCAGGTGCGGCACAACCCAGTACGGTTCATCAGATGGGAAAGAAAATGCTTACCAGCACCGTGCATGTGCCAAATCGACTAATGATTCTAAAACCCCCTTTGCAATTTCCATTTATTTTCCTGTAGCCGAAATTAGCATTGATAAATGAATAAACTTCTGCGCTCTCTGGATCTGCGGTCTTCGCAATCGGCTAACCTTTTTTATACCCTTCATCTAAAACCCCCTTTGCAATTTCCATCTATTTTCCTGTAGCCGAAATTAGCATTGATAAATGAATAAACTTCTGCGCTCTCTGGATCTGCGGTCTTCGCAATCGGCTAACCTTTTTTATACCCTTCATCTACTCGTATATTTTTCTGTCAACTAAAGAACGCTTTGGTAAAGAAAATTAAAAAATCTATGTCTGGGGCATGTCTGGGGTTGTTCTACGTTTCATCGTATTTGTCTTGTTAGCTTTATTCAGTTATGTCAACTTTAGCCGAATTTCACCCTGTTTGCAGTGAATCAGGAAGAAGCTTGACCATCAGGTCCAGTAGAATAGAGGTGAACATGGACTTTCTATCGAAACGGTCCACAAGGTTTTTAAACAGTAAGCCTACACCGTTAAGTTTCGCCAGGAACTGTTTTGAGTTGCCGACAGTGGTGTTCGAATCAGCAGTCTGTGTTTAAATACATTGTCGGTGGACTTTTTTAACTACTAGAGAAGAGGGGATTTCACTGAGTCAATCAAAATAACCTTTTGGTAGAGGTTCGGAATTGTGGACGAGAGAGCGGACGTACTGATGGCACAACAGTTATTCTATAAAAACTTATTTTCTGGTTAAATTAATCCCGAAGACGATCAAAGATGGAAGTACAAGGTTCATACGACTTGTCAGCAAGATTTGGCGTTACCATCTTTAACGAAAACCACCAAATCCAGCGTCAAACGACTCTGTAGTTTGATGGAGCCCACTACACCGAACAATCCGGCATTCTTACCCCTAACATTATCGCAATGACTTGGCCTAGTTGAAAGTCATCAATTTCGTCTCTGTCTATTTTGTCTCCGAATCATGGGACCGTCAATTTTCGATAAACCAATTCAGGCGGTGTCTCGTGGTGTTCCATGCCCAAGTATCCACCAATTTTCAGACGAGAAGAGGGAATTGAAAAGTTCCTCATGAAGGAAGACATAGAGCATAATTCTTATTGCATCCACTTTTTCGCCACAGACTGTGCTAGGTTGAAAATTTCTTCGAAGGTTTTTGGAGATATGTGTAGGATAAAAACGCATGCATTCACTGATAGTGACTCAGAAACTAGGCTCATATACGAAGACTGTCAAAACGATAAGTTTTCAACAACCGACCGGCAACGCTGTCAGTACTCAATTTCGTTCAGGCAAGGGATTTAAACCCCAAAAACGGAAGGACTGTAGCCATTAGACGTGAAACTCTGCTCCGTCAGACATCTCCTCAAGCTAAAGCCCTCAAATACAGCCCAAATACAGGTATCAACTCAGAAAAATTTGCGTGATATCCGCCCTCTGAGGACGGAACGAAGTTATCAGTGTTTGATATTTGGGCATCGATATAGAAAACAGGAAGATTTTTATGTTATTGAGACCTCTCTTTGTTGGGTATTGATGGGGCCAGTATCTAGAGAAAATCTTTGAGAAACAAATATGTATTTTCTGTGCGAGACGGATCCAGTCAGATCAAAGGCAATGCATATGCGTGACTTCGATTTGATGACCTTGAGCTTTTGAATAGCGCTTACTCAGCGGAGGATAAAAAGTTTTTGATGTTGTTCGAATTCAATGCGAACTTAATTCATGGATACTTAAAAGTCACTTAACATTTGAAAAACCGTTCCCTTTCTGTCTGGCAGTACACCCGTTGCTCAAAGACATGCATATGCTTTGAAAACCGGTCTTTAAAAACCTGTGAATAAAAGGAGCTAAAAGATATGCCTTTTTGTGTAAGGAAACAAGGGCTACACATAATCTGTTAAATGGGCCCCTGTCAAGGCATCAGGTCAACTTAAGTATTTACCCCAACACTCCGTGGTAAAATCGATGCAGCAGGAGAAACTTAGGATGGTACTCAAATTTGTCTCATTCTCCAATTACTGCAAAGACCAGACCAAGCTAACGGTTGCTGTGGCGTTTCGGCTCCATTCCAATAGTACCCGTACATAGCGGTGACAAATGTAGAAATTATGCTCCAACAAGTACGAATTCCCAAAACCTCAACTTTCGTGTTTACGCGTGGTTGGCAAGTGCTGACCTAGAACTCAGTCCGGATGCCTAGTAAATTGCAGTCTACTCGGTCGGGAAAATCTCTTACCTAACCCTAACCCTAAACCTAACCCTAAGCATAACCCTAACCCTCTAACCCTAACCCTCTAATACTAACCCTAACCATCTAACCCTAACCCTACCCTGTCACCCTAACCCTAACCTCCTAAACCTATGCGTAACCCTAACATTTACACTGTAACCCTCACCCTAACCATAACCTTCATATCGTAACCCAAACCCTAACACTCTAACCCTAATCCGCACCATTAGCCTTACCTTCTAACCCTAACCCTCTAACACTTACCCTCTAACCCTAACCCTAACCCTTTAACACTAGCCCTCTAACCCTAACCCTAAACTCTAACCCTCTAACCCTAACCCCATAACCCTTACCTTCTAACTCTAACCGCTCGCAAGGGGTGACAACCGCGTGAGCCGCGAGCTGCTCGAGTCAGGCTTTTCAGGACCGCAATTCATCAACAAACTCAATGACCTCCCGGTGCCCTATTCCGTGCTGCCATTTCCCTGGGCAGGAGAATCAGTCACGTGGGGATGGCGCGGGCGAGCAACCGTCACCAGCAAAACAGGGGACATCAGTGTATCCTTCACGTTGAGAAACCCATCTGGAGAAGAGACACATTATTTAGCACACATTCAACGATCTTAAGTAGTTTTTCTCCCATATGATTAACCGTGCCAGATTGCGCTGCAACTGTATTTTGTTAACTGGCTGCATAATGCTGTTTGTCTCCAACTTCAGCAGGATTTATCGGTGTCAATGTTACACTAATGTCCTCTATCTTACCGGTTATCTGCAATATTTTATAGTTCTGACAAATTATTTGCTCCGAAACATTTAAATCCGAAGTTAATTAGTGCTGGGCTATGACTTTTGACAGGGAATACAAATACAAAAACCCGTTTTCGGCGCTATTCATTATACGCGAAGAATAGATCCGGTTTCCAAATTGAAATCATTTGGAATAGTTCTCAGTCAAGGGTTATTACTCTGAATGCTTTAAAGCCTGTATGGGTCGGAATGTTTGTTCAGTTAACTTTATAACTATCTGTACGTTGTAACCATCCTTTTTACTGGGATGGCCTGAAATGCGGTTAAATTAATTGAAATAAACGCCGCAATGGTAATTCTGCGCGTGAAGTGAACTGCATTGTAGTAAAATATCCGTAAATATTGTGCCAAATTAGCAGGAGTTAGATGTAGAATTGAAATAAATGATAGGATTGTTAGGGAACAATCGATGCGTAGCGAAATTAACAATATGATAATATTGTGAAAAGCCAGTTAACAGTGTTGATTGATGTGGTGAAACTGTCAGTAGCCTTGGTCTTCATTAGCTTCAACTTGAATAACTGTGAAACAAAAAGCCAAGCGTTTTTCACAAACGACAAATCCACGTCACTTTTAGAATGATTAAGAATTATCAAGTGGAAACACATGTGGGTTCATTCACTGACTGACCTACTTTATGAAATCTTATCCGAAATTCTAAAATAATATGATTGAAAACTGATAAACTTGCGGCATAATCCATTTACATATCAAACGCGTCCTTATGTTGGGTTTTTAATGCATTCCTTTTAATCTCCTTTAAAATCCAGACTCGGCAAAAATGACTCCTTAACTAGCCTACAATTTGCGCATTGATGTTTGACTCTTATAAATCGAAATATATTTTACAGACAACGCGCACAAAAACGTGCTTTCTTTAATTTATTCGGTAGCAAAGCATTTTAACTGTGCATGCTATGCTTGAACACAGGGCAAATTTAAGTTAAAAAGTTTTTATAGATAATACAATTTTTCCGGCCGTGCAGTGTTAATTTATGCAGCATTGTTCCTGTCTGTGTTCCATTGATCCTTATGCAATGTACAACACAGCCCGCATTTGTAGCAAATTTTCATGTGTCCTAAATGGAACTTTCACAAAGCTACAAAGGGACAAATTATTATCCTTACAGGGAAAGATTGGGCCTCGTTGAATGGAATCGCTAAACGGTAATGCGACAGCTGATCTGGCCTCAAAATTTTCGGGAATCGGCAAACTTTTTTTAACCTAAATATACCGTTTTATGAAGCATAAAATGTGAAATCGACGTGATTTGCAGCCGAGTGAGCTAAAGAAAGCATATTTGTGCATGTTTTCTATAAAATATATTTGAATTTATTAAACAGTAGAAAATCAATGCAAAAAAGCACGTTATATAAGGAGTCATTTTTACCGAGTTTCGATTTTGAGGGAGATCAGAAAGAACTGCATTCAAAACCCGGAGTTCTGGCGAGTCTGAAATTAAACCGAATAATGCCGCATGGTATTTAGTTTCACAAATCTTACCTAAATAACTCATCGAAATCGAAAGCGCATTTCAGAATTTTGGTCAGCATTTCATGAGATAGGATACTCAATGTACCATCCCATGCAGGATTTTTGGTTGCTGTTTGTCAGCACAAAATCCTTCAGTTGATTCGTATTCCTATTACAGAAACGATCAGCTAACGTCTCTACCAATTGTTAAATGTTTTTTTTTCATAAGCACATTATCTTTCACTTCAGCGTTGCTGAATTTGGAGGCTCTTCTACAACGATCATCTTTCAGAATATTTCTAGTGTGACCTTTTCAACTCATAAAATGAACTTTTCAATTTGGATTTGTAGAAAGTCGCTGGTTCATATTTTTATTGTCCGCACCAAAGGCATGTACGTGTTAATCCAATTTGACATGCCTTATCATTAACATCCCGGGTTTAACGCAAATTGAGGTTCAGTTTCCAGATACTGCGTTTTCCGAACAAAAAAAGCTTAGCAAAAACGTTGTGGCGCCAGCACAGAAAATTCGCCTTGGTTCAAACCAGAGACAAGTCAGTTTTGGGAAACCTAGTTAGTATGCATTTGTTGGCTTATGAAAATAATAACTAAACCAGTACAATTATGTAGGAACGGGCTGAGGTTAAATATGCCAATAATTTGAAAAATCACTGAAAATGACGTAGCTAGCCCTCATAATGCTGTTAATGAGGCATATCTCCCGTTACATTTTATGCAGGAAATGAAATCATCTGGTTCTCCTTCTTATTTAAGATGCAACTTTGAACAGAAAACATGACGATAGATTCCTAAGGGGTGCTTTTTAGAAGAAATCCGGTCTGGACAATACAAAAACATTGACACTTATGTACCTCTCCAAAACCAAGAAATCTATTCCAAAACCAAAAACATTGACCAGCGTCTAGCATTTAGGAGATGCTTAGAAAGGGTCGAAACTTGCTTCGCAAAAATGGGCATCTTGGGCAGTTTTTTGCAAAGAACACTACCAAACGAAAGGAAATATATACGTCTTTGGCTGCTAAGAAGAAAAATATGTTCTCAAATTTCCTTCTCCGTTAGACGCTGCGAGTGAATTCCTAAGATAACGCCATGCTGAAACTGATTTAAGAATCTTCTCAGTTGTAAAGTTTTTCATATTTTTTCCTATTACCTTAATTTACCCAGAGAAGTTAAAAGGGTTGCGACCAAAGACCACAACAATGTGCGCCTTTCTTTTCATAAAGTACTTTAAAGCAGGTCGAGTTGTTGGCGCGAGTCTTCGCCTTTTGAATTGAATACGAGAAAATCTCCCGGCATAACTCAGAAAAGATGAAACTAGGAGCATGAATAGCGCCATCCGTGCAGATTTTGTTGATTCCAACGGGACGTTTCGTGTGCATTTAAGGTCTCTCCAAGCTACCCTAGGCTACTATGTCAGCGTCTGTTTACAACAACAGAAATGGTCGCAATTAGGTTACGACAACCAATCTCTTGTTCGCAGATGAACCGTGCTCAGGCTCTGAGTCTAACGTGGTCGAAGGCCCATTAGCACTGTAACTCTCCTCACCATTCTGCTCTCACTTAATTGATGTTTTTTTAAATAACTTGAAGCGAGTTTTCCTGTCATTGACATGTTTGGCTTTTACTACTTTCCCATATAACTTTTCTGGTCCGATTAGAAGTTATAAAAAGCAAATTTATGCTTACGGCCCATTCACTTGAGCACTGCCGCGGCGATTTTTGGTTTCGATAAAGTTTGTTATGAGAATTTAAAAACACAAAATCAAACAAAATATCCGCCTGATAGATCATGCCAGGAGCCTGATGGCTCCTTCCCTGGATCCGGATGTCGGCGGTATAAAACGTGACTGCGTTTTTTCGTCTCAAGAATGTTTATAATGCAGTTGTGGTTTCGATTTATCGGTTTCTTCTTCCGTATACTCTCTGCTCCTCGGAATTGAAGCCCGGCATTGCCGTAGAAATTTCGTGAAAATTCACATCGGGTGACGACTCTGCCGAAGACATGAAATGTGAATGACAATTATAACAAGGACGATAGATAAATACAGGAAAACTAAACATTTAGCTAGGGTTATGGATTTCTAACAAAAAACGATAACAAATAAATGTAAGAAGAATAAGTACACAGACTCGTGCAGATTGGAGCACTCTCCATTATCGATCGTCATATCGCAATTGCCCTGGGCAAAGTCCAGAAAGTTCCAATCTAAAATCGGTTAGCTTTGTATATCGCTCGGGTTTATTCCCGTCTGGAAAGATAAGACCAAGCCAAAGAAACCCAAAGGGTTCGCAGCGCATAAGCGCAATCAACCAAGCCATGACACCTCACAGCGGACGAACAGCCAGCTGTCCTCACAGCAGGCCGAAACTAGTTTTCCATACAACAATATTGCCAAACGCAATTGCACAAGAACACTAAAAGGTAAAAAAACAGAAATAGGTAAATACCTACAGACACGTAGGAACTAAGCAGTCCTTATTTCCGAAACGACATTTATGTCAATCGCTGGGATAATTTAACTCGTAAACAAGTAGCAATACCTCTTTTCCAACCGTAGAGCTGCCTTTGCTTGTAATAGTCCAAAGTGATCGAAAGTGATTAAGGTGAATGATGGATAAAATGTCCCTAGTATTTCGGCGGAAAACATGCCAGAAATAGTCAAAATTGTGAGAAACGCCAGCGTCGACAAGTTAAACAGAATTTCCATGTCTAGTTTAAAGGCCCTACCCCGAATTATCCGTTACATTTCTTCCAGTTTAGTATTCGTGTGTTATATTTAAACTTGTTCATTGAATCGATGAACATGATGTACAACTAAGCGGCGTGCGAAACGTTTCTGTGTGCGAATGATTGGAGGTTGGGTCTCATAAAGTTACTGAGCGTATTGAAGTTGCTCTCTCACTCTATAAGCCTGTTCGAACAAACCTGTGGAGGATGCCTCAAAGGATTATGGAAAATTTTTAGCTGTTTTGCAATCCGCGTTTCTCAAGTTACTGTACGCTAACATAAGCTCACTTTCGACAGGGACTTGGGACTTATCTCAGTACATTGACTTTGGTAGCTTTCTAGTCCACAACCACGTTGAATTAAGAAACAAACCCTGATTTATGCGAAACCTTGTTCTCTACCGAGACCTTAAATCATCTCAACTGTGCACTCAAAAATCTCGTTGACTGATGATCCGCAATAGGCAGCATAACGATTACAAAAAACCATTGGCAATAGTTAATTACATCGTTCTGCTCCTAAGTGTTACGTCCTTTGGAATTGTATATTCTTTTTAAAGATCTTCGCATATATATAACATGGAAACATTTGACTGTATGATTTAGAATATTTCGCTTCAAAAACTGCTGGTATGTCGGCCTCATGCTTAACGCAATTTTCGATAAAGTTAACTGTTGGCACTTGTAAGTTTAACGCACTAATATGTAAACAAAGTGCTACATCCAATAGAATTTTAGTTCGATTTCTTTTATAAAACAATCNTTGGAATGCAATGTTATACAACAAAATATCGTCCTTTACCGTATCCCGTGCTCTAACTGCCGTTGCGTTTATATTGGTCGCACGTGTCGACAACTTGGGACTCGAATTAATGAACACAAGTTAGCTATCCGCCGACGCGACCACTTATCTCTCGTGTTTGCGAACGCTCTTGTTTGTGACCATCGTTTTAATTGGGACGGTACTGACGTGGTCGCCATGGCTAACACCAAACACGCACGGGAATTCTTCGAAGCTTGGCTCTCCGATGCAGATAGCATTAACCGCCATGCTGACCTAGATGTCCACTACGAGGGTCTCCGATCGCGAGAGACTGATTGACGCCCACCTTAAGAACAACAACAGCTAATGCCGACACGCCATTCCTCCCTCCCTGCCCTACTCCCCATCCCCCCCAACACGGTGAACCACTGCTGGGATCACCTCCTGCACCCATCAAAACTTGATTCACACCTCTCCATCGCAAGGTCGTCTGATTACCTCTCTGTCTCCATCCTAAACCCGCAGTGTGACAATCCCACCTCTCACTATTCACTTTGTCTGACGACGGGTTGTTGCCACCAGCTCACGAATTCACGAGTAAAACTGCGTTTCCGATGGAATTCCTGCTTATATATATATATTGTGAATTGTAAAAATAATTTTAGGATTAAATTTTTGAACCTTGGTATTCATGTCGACTTCGGACTGGAGCAAATATGCGAAAACAGTTAATAATTTAAATGCACTTTAAAGTCGATATCTATTTTCTCTGAGGCACAGGGGCATTTAAAAATCAGCGTTTGATAAACGCCTTCATGTGTAGTCAGATAGGCATAAAATAACGCAGTATTCATGAATTTGACGTGTCAAATAAGCCAGTGATTTAAATGCAAGGAAATACAATTGGTAAACGTAATGTGTTTGCGTTATGAAAGCAAATCAGTGAAGAGGAAACCCGATGCATTTGATTAACCTTTATAAAAAAGAACGACTGTAAGATATGAGTTTCATTCGTCGTTTATTGTAGACGTGTTTCTGTTTATATTAATGGTCTGTGGCAGTAAGTTGGAAATGCCTCCTTCATACAAATGCACAGTCCAGAGTGGGCTTTATCGAAAGGTGTGACCATAATCTCTGAGCGGTGTAACCCTTTAAAGCAGAATCTAAACAATTTTGTTATTCCAGAGAAGTAGACACTCTCACATCAGCGGTAGGATTCAATGGATTCTGCGGAGCAGGGCCGGAGCAGTTATGGGGGTTGGGTATTTGTGCATTAACCGTTGTTTTTTAAATATGAAAGGTGCTGTTGATGGAATACCGCTGCCTTGAAAAATGTCGAACATGTTGAATCAGATGAAGGGGGGAATACTTAGCAGAGATCGCGCCAGCTAGTATAAACAGACAACTGCCAACACTGACCAGTCTGCCTTCATTCGATTTTTGATGATAAATTCGTAATTTTCAAGAGAAACAAATAAGGCCGACTTCAAACGAATCTTACCTTCATACTTCCGGGAGTCAATTTCACTTTTCAGCCAGAGGTTAATGGACAAAGCCCGTTTTCGGGTGTCCTCGTATGCCGAAAAACTGATTGATCCCTTCACATTTCAGTTTAGCGCAATGAAACATAGTTCGATATAAACCTATATTTTGTGCGTAACTAACCCATTTTCCCTAAAAGAAGAACTGCTTACAGCCTTCTAAAATGAGCCAAAACACTGCTTTGCTAAAAAAGTTATCAAGCAGAAATAAAAATACTTTTTTGATTATTTTCCTACAGCGGGTTGCCGCGCGACTTTCTACGGCGTTGCATGATGTATGAGTTAGAACATAAAGGTATTTCGAAAACTACATCCACACAGACTCCAAAAGCATTCACTTGGCGGACTCTCGTTAGGCGAAAAATATATTTGAACTCGTCGAAAGGCAACTTAAAAAGCATCAGATACANCTACTGGTTGGGCTCGAGAGAGAGCCCAGAAGGCAAATAGAACGAGTGGGCTCTGCAAGAAGGATTGGTGAGCGCCCCCTAGCATTGTTAAGTGAATTATTGCCCACAAAACTGCGACAACCTTTTCTTCTTCCACAAAGGATACTGACCAACAGACACCTTTGGCCAACAGAGACTTTAGAGAAGAAATAAAATAAAGTTGCGATTTCGAAGGAAATTTCTGTTGACAAAGAACTCAGTGTCCGTGAACAAAAGAAAACGCAGAGTAAATAATTTAAGCTACTAACCTCAGGACAGCGCATGCTTTTTAAAAAATGTTTTGCATTGTAAGTGAACCTCAAACCGCGACGCCATTCCTCGTTTGCAGGCTAGTAAAGACAGGAAGGTTTATGCAGAGGGAACGGAAGAATATCAGATTGGACGATTTATCGAGCGCATCTTTATGAAAGGAAGCGTATTCATTCCTTGCGACTGAAGATTTTTGGATGACCCTAAAATGATACCGTTTCCTTTGCCAAAATATTGTTCGTAATTAAATCACATGGGTCAGCTCTCATACCGTGCAGGCCGTTGAAAGTAGTCAGTGAAGACCAATCAAAATCCTTGTCCATGCTTTTCTAGGCCACTTTTGAAGCCGTCCTTTTGCCTGCTGACTGGAAAATCTTCACAAATTCAGAAGACGAAGATGTCATTACTGAAACAAGACATAACTTGGCCTGAAATCTCGGATTCTTACTCGAATCCATTATCAGAGACTTTCGGAGATAAAATGGTGGTAAAAGGAGTGCAGTATTTATAGCACGTGGATGCCGTGGAACGATATGCGCACTGTAATTAGCAACTCTTGAAGTCACCCGTGAGGTCGTAATTAATGCGGTTGTGGCTTGTCAGTCGGAGTCCGAGTTGTTCACTGCAGTGATTTCGTCATCCATGCTGGATGGTTGTGTGACGATTACTCGACAAATTGGGTCACTGTCACTGGGATAATTGCTCACCCGCGCCTTCCCCACGTGGCCGATTCCCCCACCCAGGAAAAATCCCAGCATACAATATGGTACTTGGAGTCACTGCGCTTGTTTTTGGACTGCTGGCCTAAGAAGCATGATTCGAGCAGTTCGCGGCCCACGCGGTTTTCACACCTTGCGAGGATTTTGGGCTTTTTTGAAATTTGAAAATATGGCCAGGTCCCGTCGATTGAGACCCCACCGCACAGGTAAAGTCTCATCATCGTCCCTCGATATATGCACACCCACGGCAGCCAGGCACTTTATATATTGCACTTCGTGTGCTAACGTCCCCCTTATCCGCGGATGTCTTGAATGATGGTTTGAGGGAGAACCCGAAACTTCAGGAAAATATGTTTCTTGTTCCAGTGGTCGCATTTTCGTCTTTTGAAGTGCATCCGCGAACTCGCCAGTTCGCTTCCACTAGCAATCCTTTGGGCGCGAAACGCCCCGATCGGCTCGACGGTAGGAAACCCTTCGAGAGAAGTGTACATGTGCACAGATTCGACTGCTGACGGATGTCTCGAGGACAGTGTGCTGCCGCTGTGTTTTCGTACAAACCTCCGGTCAGCACAGAGCTGGCGAGACGCGCAATACTTCAACTTGACCGACAAATGATCCAGGTGCTAAATCAAGACTGTCACGCACGTATTCGCGAATACCGTCAAAGGAACGACCAAAAGAAAGCCAAGCGCTGCGAGTTTATGAGCTAGGAGGTCACAAAATTGCTTCAGCAGAGGCTGGCAGATCACATGCACGAACAAAAAGCAACATCCGAAGCAGCCCTCGAAAGCAAATTTCGTAACCTGCCTGCTCTACCGTTATCCAAGAACGACAGATTGGGTCAGAAAACTTTGTCAAAGGAATATTCGGGGGAACAAATGCAGGTTTAACGGCATGAAGCCTCATTCAACACACCCGAAACCAAACCTACCAACATGATCGCAGCTGTGGAATTACCACTAAGCAAGACGAGAGCTACAGAGGAAACAAGAAATCTTATTCAAAACGAAGTTTCCTCTCTTCTCATGGCTCGGACGCCGCGCGATGTGCTTTGCAAGGTCGAGCGCGATACACTTAAGTAACACAGGGTCAAAAACGCCCTCGTTATCGTGCCTGCGGACAAGGGACGATCAACGGTCATATTGGATAGGGCTGACTACAATCAAAAAGCCAAAAGCTTGGTGGATGGTCTTCAGTCCTATGTCCCATGCAAATACAACTTCATAAAAACGCCGTCACGCGAGATTAACGCCCTTAGCATACGACGGCATGCCTGTGCAAATTCACAGCTCATCCCTTTCATTGGAAGTTATCGCACTCCATGTAATAATTCTCTTCTAGACGGACTTCTACGATTTCATTATTATGTTGATAGCGATTTGCTCTGGTTACTCGAACATCTGATTCACCCAACCTGACAATGTAAAAAAGTGTTCACCTGCGTTCAACCGGTTGGCCAGTTGCTTTGCCTAGGTAGAGCCTGAGCACTTAAAGTGGACGGGAAGTTTATGTGCTTGTTGATAGACTGGCATCAGTGAACAACAGGTGAGGCAAATTGTTGGTGTGGCTTTTCTAAAATGTTAGCATTAACAGCGAATGTTCTGCCCACTGGTAGAAGCGAGCAAGCGAGTTTCAGGAAGTAGTTTAGAAGACTTAAATGCGATTACGTCTCTACTAAAAGAATAAGACAATGCTGAGCACAGGAAAACGGCACCATCCATGCAATCCTCACGAAAGTTTCTGTGTGCCCTTGGCCTCGTAAGGAGTAGAGCAAGAGTATAAGTGGGTTAATTTTATTCTGCTGTTCACGGCACCCCCGCATTCTACGAATTCTGCTCACCACCAGTGTTGAGCAGGAGCGAACTAGAAGCCGTTCCCTGGTATTAAGCATTAGGGCTCGAGCTTTAGAGGCAGTGAGGTAAGGGCTCTTACGCATGCTGCTTTAAAACTCCAAGTGTATTTTTAAAGAATACAATAAGTTAGTTGGCTTGAATTATGATAGTGATAATGGCATTGCATTTATTTTGGGTTACTTCACTTGTTTCGTGGGGATTGGGTTCTAAAACAATGAAAAACACTTCAGATGACCTTCTGCAGTTGATGGCCTAAACCAGACGGGGCAGTGGTTCCAAAAGCTCCTCCCTGGTTGCGAATTGGCGATAAAGTCTCATTTTTCTGCAGCCGAAACTCCCATCCTGTCTGGCTGTAAGTTGCATTATCTAACTTGTGGCGCTTCAGTTCTCTTTTGCTTGCAACCGTTTACCCCTCAAAATTTCGAAAGAGACCTGACAGTTCAAGATGCGCTCTGGCAGGCTGTAGGACGACAAAATAGATCGTCAGCCGGTGATCTGTGTCTTTCGGGAACGGTAGAACAGAACGCACGTAGAATGGAAAATGTAATTCAAGAAATCGTAATTGATTCTTGAATTTCGGCCGAAAAACGTAGCATGTGCTGCTTTACAACAACGGAAAGATAACACGATGCTCAAAAATAAACAAAAAATAATTTTAAAAAATAATGCAGTTTGAGTATTCCGCCGATGGTAAATTTGCTTTCATTTAGGCAACCAAGGCGATTCCAGCCAATAGGAACTATGAACTCTGATTGATGTTTCCATTTGCAGGGTTCCTGTAATGTACACGTTTAATTCGTAAATGAACGACAGACAACGCAAATCATCCAATCTCAAAAAGCAGTCTGAAATCGGGATAATGCAGACAGTAACGAATATCTCAACGCTTCTAACAATTTTTTTTCTGAAAACGCGTAGAAGTATGGCTGAAAGGTAAATTTACGGAATGGCTGGGAAGGCATAAATGTGGGTGTTGAAAAATCTAAAGTAAATAACCGGGGACGGCGGTGAAAGAAAAATAAATATTGGGGGAAGGTGTTTCTTATTTATGATTTTTACTTATAAACATTGCAGACATTCAGCAAGAACAAACAGAAAGCTGTACAACCGCATCCAGCTTGACGAAGAAAAACTAAATAAACAGTAAAAATCTTTAAAAAAACGGAAGATTGTGGAGTTCTGTCGGGCTAGGTGACAAATATCTAGGGTGCCTATATGTCAACGCAGACTTATCATACGGCTGCCTGTCAGGACGGCTATGTGTTTCAGTGTGAATGATGCAGAAAGCGGAAATCACGAAAAACCGAGCAGATATTTGTAAAAGACGCATTAGGAAAAAAACAATTGTGAATATCTTGCTGGCCTTTTCGCGTAGAAAATGGTCAATAAGTGCGAAGAAGATGTTGCCGTGGTTTGCCCCACAAAGTCATGGGTGTGCAGGATGCATGAGAAATCTCTCTGTCGCATGAATGCAACGCGTATCGTCGCACGTAATGCAACAGCAGCCTGCATGAACAATGTAAGAGAATATTAATTTAAACGGCTCATCGCCGGGTTTTGAATGAACGTCTATGCACAAAGCCCACTCGAGTCAACTGCTGTGAATTGCTTTACGCAAGGACCGCTTATATAAGCGCGAAGTGTAAGATAGTTTCTGCATGCGCACCCGTAAAGGCCAAGAGCCGGGATGGTACAATCGCATTTTTCATTCTGAGCTAAGACCAAGGGATGCTTACATTCCCTGATCCAAGTTCAAGTAAAGTCAATGCAGAATGCTGGGCAGTATCAGCATGCGCTTATAAAATCGTAAGAAAACGAAGTGTTACGATCACAAATCTTTCTGAAATGCGAAATAAAAGAAGTTTGGGCCGAGCTCGTAGACATGTTTGCACTGGCCCACCACATTGGGGGTGCTGGGACGGTACGATCGCTTTTCGAGTCTTTTTACAACAATTCAGCTTGCATTATTGCCTTCTTAAAATTGCTGCTCGTGTTGAAATTGTGAACCAGTGATTAACATATTTCCTTGGGCAGTAATATTTTCACGGACAGTTATTGAAATTGATATTGATTACTTTTAAGCCTCATGACTCGGAAACTGATTTCTCAGAAGGTAACTAAAAAGTCACCGCTTTCGACAAAACAAATAGGTACTTAGTTCCCTGAACCATTTAGATTGTCTAGGAAGTCGACATTGTGTGGCTGCTGGGCAAATGATCGAGCATGTCCTGATTTTTCCTTTCGAATAGCCAAGGAAAACAGCATAAAAAATAAAAGCAATTATAAATATGTTAGACACTGTCTTTTGGATTTCCTACACTCCAGAAATAAATCTCGACCTACAGTTAGTGGGTTTACGAACAAAATGACAAAAATGCGTTTCGTTTCGAAAAGACTAATTAAAAAGCATTGAAAAACGAATCAACAAACAGAATAATTCTATAAAACACTTACTTTGATATGTGGGTTTTCGAGCAAACGTCTTGCCGGCTGCACGCAAAACTCATACCCTTCAAAAATGACTTTTGTGAAGCTTGCATTTTTTCCCTCGAATTTCGCTTCGCCAAAAATCAAAACGGATGTCAAAGAAAGCGTAAAAATCATTCGTTTACTTGCTGCTTTTGTGGAAAAATGTTGCTTTGCAATTTTCTTCAAGACATAATGGTATAATATGGCTTTTAAATCGTTTCATATTATGAGATTTTTCAATGCCGTGAAATGGCTGTATATATAAAGTCATGTCTCTGCGTCTAAAAATGTAACGTATAAATGTGCTATACGGCTTAACTTTAAAACACCGCATAGTCATCTCTAAATACCTTAGAGACATATTTAGTTTTCCGCCAGCGGAAAATGAAGG